ATAGATAGATAGATAGATAGATAGATAGATAGATAGATAGATAGATATGGATTGAGAGATAAATACTGAGTTAGACAGGCAGAACAAGAATAAAAGAAACAGTTGTTATGAGTGAAATATTCAAGTCATTGTGGTGGAAGACCACATACTGGCTGGGATCAGTTGCTTCCAGCTATCAGAGCAATAGTTGCTTTATGCATTTAGTGTGGAAAAAGTAATGCATTTTGTAACTAATTGTGTGTGTAATAATGATTTCTGATGTTTACCCCTGTGTTGTGTAGCATTGCTTAACCCATTACTGAATTACTCATTGAATGGCCTCTAAAGTTTACTTGATTTTTTTCTGGCAACAACAGGCATTTATAGACTTTATAGGATTCAACACGTATGTTATAAAAGTCTTCTGTCATATTTCATCTGTGGTTGAGGTCTCTTCACACTGTGAGGTACAGCGAAAGCTTTTTGGTGGTTGATTAGATTAACAACTCAATACAGAAAACCTTTTGATATTTCCTATTTTTCGGCTTTTGATATTAACTGAAATATATAGCTGATTAAAAACAAATACTATCAGATTTCTCTTTAGTGTTCCCACAGCAGCTTTTTGCATAGATTTCTACATTTTATTAGGCCTAGCGGGATACGTTTTAGCACCGCAGACAGATGCACGGGATCCAATTTTTACATCCGTTCTGGCTCATTATTTAACAACTTTACGTACATGGGGTGCTTTGAGAGAAAGTTCCTTATACTTGCAACTGTCATAAACTTCTATTCATATTTGATTGGGTAATGGAGCATCCGTTTTTGATACAGCAGCAAGGAGAAGAAGACGCTCCCGGCTGTGTTGCCATGGCATTTCTGCAATGGTTTATCATTATCGTACACAAAATACATTCACCTCAGTCTCAGCTGTGTCACTTTAGGCGGACACACGCTGTGATTTCATACTTTTGTGTGCCATTGGGTTCGCAGATTAGTTTTCCCCAGTGTGTCTGAGCACCAGAATATAATCCCTGGACTCAAACTATGACATGTTTACATGCTGACCTCTCTTCCAGGTACCACCGCCCTTTGAGAAAACGTGCTCTTTAAGCTTTCTTCTTCTTGGGAAATGATTGTCAATCATGGCGGAAAAAAATGTATGCTGTTCCTCCAGAAACATAGCAATTGTGGCTTACCTTTCAAAGAAACTGACATGCAATCAACTTTCAATAACACCCATCCATCCATTTGCTATACGGGTTATTCCCATTGGTGGGGTCGGTCTTTCAGGTACATCCAGGACAGGTCGCTAGTCCACCGCAGGGCTACCAACACACAAACAACCACCTACACTCACATTCCTTTAAATGACAATTTGATGGAATGTTTTTTTAACAGGACTTCAGATCTTTCTCGGAGGTCATTTCTCAACCCTGATTTATTTTTCATCTTTGCATTAAGAGCGTCAGCCTGAGAGGATGAGAACAAGTGCGGCATTAATTGTTAATTAAGGATGTTTATCCCAGCGCATGACTTGTAGATTGAACAATAGCATGAGGACGGGATTGTCTTGCAGTTATCTTGGTGCAAAATGAATTCCGGCCTCATAAACATTACCTGAATTCCACTTCATTTCTCAAATAGAACACGAGCAATCGCACATAAAGGAAATGTAAGGATTTGCAGGGAAATGGCAAAGGAATCATTAAACAGTCTCACTGCCCTCAACAAGTTTAATTTTCTGTTCCATTTGTTTGTCTGCACACCTGTCAGCGGTACTTTGTAAATCTGGCAGGACAGTTTTCATGAGATTTGACGGAACCCCAATGGCTGTATTGTCGACATCCTGTTTTCTCGTTGGCAGCCCATTTAGGCATGCCACTTTTCAATACTATTTTCCAACCTGTGCTGTCAGTTTTAAAGTGAACACTTTGACCTCTCAAGCTCAAGACTCCCAAATATTAAGGAGAAGGAAACACTTTTGCAGAATTGGGCAAATAGCATGACGAAAGCTGAATTAAAGCAAGATACTATATGTTCAGCCTAACTAAGACTGAATGAGCATTTCAGCTGGCAACCTGATTGGGTTGATTTAAGTTTTTAGAGCTATTTAAATTACTTTACATTGCAATTTTTTTATTGTGCAAGCTAGTTGTTGCTAATTCATTTTCACTAAAAACCAAAATAAAAAATCTGAAGCCCAGTTAGAGACATCAGGTAATCAATAGGCCCCAAACTCAACTCAAACTTCAAAGTGTGCAGGCTTTGTTAAGGCTTGGTTTATGTTTTGCTGTTCGGTTTGCAGACATTTGTTCAGCTCTTGTTGCACATTTAGCTACTATCTGCTTTAGATCTCATTTCATTTTCTGAAGCCCTTCTTATTGTGTAGTTAGTTTAGCTTCTCACTCTTTGTTCTTTTATGTTTTCAGAGTGACTTTTTTCCAGTCATTACCAGATACCTTCTTTTCAATTTGTCTTGTTTTTCCAACATCACCTGTTCCCTGCACTCGTTGCTCTCCTGCATTCCATTATCTAACCATCCCTCTCTGCTTTTTGATGGTAATAGTCCTGCATTTGTCAGTTTTGCATTTGTTTATGCATTTGCATTTTGTTAAATAGAGAGCTCATAATATTTTTTTCTACATGTTTTGTTTGTTTGGAATGCAGCTTCATTATCGTTATTGTTTTGGTTTTGATACCTTCCCACCTTCCTTCTGTTAAGTGCTGCATTTGGATCGTCCTCCACCCGTAATGACTGAAACAGACCTCCAACCACAAGTGAATTGATGCAATGATGCTCCGCTCCACCATCTGCTCTAAAGCTCTCTGTTTATGCTCTCTTAACTTAAAGTCATTATCACTCCCAAAAAGTTTTTGTCAGCTTGAGTTTTGCACATACTGGTGAGGAGGCATGAAATCAGAGCCAAACTGCAAGAATCTGACTCCGTCTCCTTCATAACTCTGCTGTAACTGATTATCGAATTTTTGCCTCAATTTTTTGCCTTTCTCTGAAAGATATTTTTACCCTTATTGCCTTGGTCGGAACATTGAACCATTAAACCAATGTACTTCTTCACTTGCCACTTGGCTAAAAAGACAGTCTTCACTTTGGATGGATTTGATTTTCCAACCTCAATATATGCCGTGGAGTTTTACACACAGCAACAATGTGGAAAATAATGTACATTTTAGAATTTTACTTCTGGATCAGGACAACAACAACAAACAATAACAGCAACAAAAATCAACCCACTTCTCACAATCAATGGACCACATTAGAAAAAAAAGTATTACTGTAGAAGCACCACTCTGCTTCACAAATATATCAGATAAGGCTTGACACAGGCAACAGAAAGAACTGATTTGAAATTCAAACTTGCATGGTAGCTTTGTTTCTCTTTAAGGGGTAAAATTAGAGCTGCACGCCCGAATAATTCCGATTTCGACCCCCTCCTTTTCTACGTTGCTTACAATTCTTCAAAGCGATACCTTGTGACATACATCTGAAAGGTTCTTAAATATTCTCCCTCTAATCCACAAACAAAACAAATATGAAAAGAAACAATTTCACAGCCAACATCCACCAATACAACCTGCATGCATTGCAGGTAAATGCATAATATGCCATCATCTCATGCCACATAACAGTTTATTTTCTGCTACAAGTGATTTTCTGCAAGAATTTTGACATACTTTTAGCCAGTTGCTGTTTAGTAAATGTTGAAATCAAGCTTTGCCTCCATCCGCCAGTGGACTATTTAACAAATTCAGCAGGGATTTTCCTCCAAGGCAGCTTGACAATAAACACAGACACTTAGAAGTCAAAGCAGGTTATAAACTCACTCTGAAAGATGCTGGAAGCATTAGCTGCCCCAGAGAGAATATATATTCTTTCAGCAAAGATTAGGCTGCAATTATGTATTCTGTATGTAGAGTCAAAAGTTAGATTAGGCTGGGAATTTTTCTGGCCCTTTATATGTTTATCATGACTCTCGTGATTACGGCACATATAACTCCATAAAAAGTGAAAGGAGCTCAAAAAAAAAAAAAAAAAAGAGGACTCACCGAGGGGCTGTCCAGCGATGATACGGGCGTTTTCTCCTGCTACAGCTGCCCGGGCGTTCCTTTCGTTTATGTACTGTACAAAGGCGTAACCCTTATGCACGGAGCAGCCCACTATTTTGCCGTATTTGGCAAAGATGACCTCTATGTCGGTTTTCTTGACAATGGCTGTGTTGAGGTTTCCAATGAAGACTCTGGAGTTGAGCGAACGGGGGTCATTCTTATTGGTCACGTTGCTAGTCTGGGTTTTACCAGTCATTCTCTTCCAGTTGGCCTCCTGGGATATGGAAAGAGTGAGGGGGGAGAGCTTTAGAAATTTGAACAGTCTAACTCCAGCTAACTGAGAAAAAAAAAATGACCCTGTGATGTTTTTTTTCCCTTAATTAAATCTGTAAACACATACATGTAATATTGTTATGTGAATTGTTGCATAGATATTTCAAAAGAAAAAAAAAAAAGGCTTGGCCGTAAGACTGGAAATTTTAACCCAGAATTTTTTCTTGTGGTTTTGACTTAACTGATTTTTGTGGTTGTTCTTTATCTGTTTTTTTGCTTTGAGAAATAGAATAAATTAGTAGCACAGTTTGCCCTGGTTTGGAGAAACAAATGGAGTCAAACCAGCCAGTTGTTTCCTCATTTGAATACATTATAAAACAGGTCTATGTAAATCACATATCTTATTGTATCTCTGAGGCCCTTACGCTGAATTTGTTGCATACTATGCCATCTTGCCTAAAGCCAGGAGCTATTTGTTTTTTTATGTGGGGGACTTGTTTATTCAGGGTGAGCAACACATTATTGTTGAAATGTTTCTGACAACTGGTTGTTAATAAGGATTCCGGTAATGATACCGCACAGAACAGGGGTGTCACACTCCTGTCCTGCAGGATTCAGATGCTTTGTTGCCTCTAAACACCTGAATTTGATCACACACTGTTAAGATCTGCACACTGTGGCTAATGGCACGTTAATGGAAATCAGGTTTGCAGAGGCAGGGAGATGCCTCAAACCTGAAGGACTGGAGTTTGAAACCTGTGAATCGTCCTGCCGCTGCACTTCTTTGAATTGGGTTTGTAAAAACTGGGACACCAGCCTGAATGCTAGCATGACTCTGCAAACGTGGAACTTCAAAACTGACATTTTTCCTAAATCAGCAAGGAAGCTTGGGTCACGTGACTGGCTGACTAAATCACTGACATGACAATGTATCTTAGAATGCAGAAAACCAAATAGAAACCCAACAGAGAAAAATATTTGCAAATATGAAAAAAGCAAATTTTCTAAGACATATCAAAACAGAGGATTTCTAATGAAGAGAAAATAACCTAATTAGTATGTACTCTGCCTCTTGCATAATTACAAGCCTAATAAAAATTTTAAACAATTTAATTCATGATTTTGGCAGAAGGCTTTTTTATTTGAAGGTTTACTTTATGCAGCTAATGAAATGTGACACGCAGGGTCACTGGCCAGTCAACTGTTTGACTGTCTGAAATCCGGCTACTTGATGGCCGATGGTTCGTTGAGAATGAGCGATAAAGTTAATCTTGCTGAGGTCTTTGTTGCTTAAATACCATGGCTGTTCTTTCACTAAGATTTGATCTGTTGATCTCAATTCGTATATTGTTCAGTTCCCCAAAGCCTTGTGTGTAGTTTTACAAAGAGAAAAACACACAAGTTACAACTTGCAATGATGTTTTTTTTCCTTTAATGTATTGGAACAGTTCTTATGATTTCATCATTTATACTTCATTCAAATCTTCTGTGGATGTCGGCTGCCTGTTGTTCCGTTCTTTGTCAAATGATCCCACACTGCTTCAATAATGTTGAGGTCCTGGCTGTTAGGAGGATTCATCCCTCCATCAGACCTGGTGCCACTGATTTCCAGCCCACTGAACGTCCAGATGTATCTCTCAGGTCCTCACAGAGGTCTTTGATGGATTTCCACCCCCCGTTTTTACTTTAAGGGACAATTCATCATCTCAAATCTTTTAACAACACATTGCACACCCTATTGTGAGTAATAATAATACTTTTGGAATCACCTTGTTAGTGCGTAATCCTATTGGCTGGCTGTGTTCCCTTGACCATGTTGGAATTATGATTCGGAGACTGACTGCCTGAAATGTCAAACAGTTTCCTTCCATAACTTTCAAAAGAAGCCAAGACTTACTTACAGTCACCTTTCAAAAATTACAAAAATGTTTGGGTCATTTGAATCAAAACAAAACCCTTAGGGGCAGATCCAGAAGCTTGCACGGTTCAGTTCGCCATATTTGACAATAAAAATGGAAAACTGTATATAAATGTATTTCATTTGATCTATCTTTTCAAGTAAGTGTTTTAATGTTTTATAGATGTGGAAGTTTCCTTACAATTTGTGCTCCCAAATGGATTACACTTGCATCACACCGTGCGTTCATTACTGTGAAACGCTGTGAGGAAAACTCTAAACATTCAATACGTTCCTGCCCTGTGTCTCTGCCTCTGACACAGAGTGATAACAACTATTCAGCTTTGAGACAGAGAACCTAAATAATGGATCCAATCCTCAGTAAATAGGATTAGTTACCAAGGTAACACTGATGTTGTTGGAATGTCTTCCTCACACAGACACACACACACGCACACATTCAGTGGAATGCACATTTTCTTCAGTGGCAGACTTAGTCCCTTTATCGAACATAATTTTTCACGGCAAAAGACTGTGGATGCATTCAACTCAGTAACTCAGATGGCAATTGTTAGAAGAACAACATGCAGTCTAAGAAAACAACGAGCCTGCAACATAGAGGCTTTGTGAAAGTGTGAGCGAGGCCGTGTCAGTGTCTGGGTGACAGCTCTCTCTCCACAACAGGGTAAACTGTGCCTTCTATGTAGGTCCAACAAGATCTTGTCTAAAAACGTCACCGAGACTGGTTTTGTGTTTTGAAGCTGAAAACCTGCGTGTGCCAACAAAAGCAAGATCAGCGCGCCTCTACGAATCAAAGCAAAGAAATGACAACGCTGCGTCTTCAGTCTATCTTCTTTTTTGTGTTTGTCATAAGGTGCTCTTTTTAAAAATGAGATATTTAGAACGATGCTCTTAAGCTGACGACGGCTGAAAACAGACAGAAAAATCTCGAACCGCATTTGTGGGGGATAAGGCCTCATGAGGCTGCCTGTTGAATCAGCTACTTGGAGACTTGAGAAATTAATTGACTTTTTTTTTGTTTCCACATGCAGAGAAATCACAATCGTGCCTAGTGCATTAAGGGTTGTGGAAATGACACAAAACACTTTTGAAATATACCCAACGGTATGTCTGTGTGATGATTTGTGCTATACTGCGTCATTGTGTTTTTTTTTTGCGTGTGTGCATTTGAACCGAGTTGTGTGCCATCTATCAAGTGGCCTTGATATTTATCAGCAGTAGATGCTGAACGTTAACGCCGTGCAGTGCTGTGCAGACATACATTCACTTCTATCTAATAGCGGTTTAAACCCCCGGTCTGACACAAATCCCATATTGATGTTTGTGGACAGGTCACAGGGAACATGACAAATCAGTGGAGAAGCATTAAATTGCTTTTTCTTGTCAGATAAATCAGGAGAGGTGTACTGGTCACGGAACTACTTTACAGCTTCTTATTGGTATATTTCATGTTGGCTTCTCTGTTGTTTTCTTTCGCGAGGAGCACTAATATATTCCGTCAATTGTTTTCCAGCTGACCTTGCTTTTTTAGTAAATTTATAGCCTCTATCAAGCTCCTCTTCCTCCGCGGTGATAGTGTCATGATGAGAGGCATGGGAGAAAAGCACAGGGAGTGATTGGCACAGCAAAAGTTCCTGGCACAGCGTTTGTTTTAAAGGGCTTGATATTTGGCATCTGATTCACACAAATAAGAGCTTCATCTCAGAAATGAAGCCCTCAAACTGCTTTTAGAGGAAAAAGAAAAAAAAAGCACGGTGACCTCAAAGCCAAGCCTTTTAAAAAATGATTACAGCTTGCATCGCACCTCATTCTGCCAGTAAAGAGCAGATGCCTTCATTTTCCCTTCTGTGGCTTTGTGATCGTGTCATGAAAGGTGGCAGGTTTTCCTAAAAGGAAGACGTCTCCTTTTATAATGAAAAGTGTTGCCATCCGAGCATCTCGAAAAAAAATAAGACAAATAATTAGGAATCTATGCTCTGCTTGAAGGTGGTTTTGTGAAAATGTTACCGCAGTCTCTTTTGCTCTGCATTGTGCCTTGGTAGGCGGTCCCTTTAAAAGGGTTGTTGTTTTGGTCTGACCACCTGCCTGATCCGGAGACATTTTTTTTCATAAAGCGAGGAAAGTCGCTAAATTGATTCCCTCTGTAATTTCCTACCTCTCCAACCACTGTACGTTTTCTCCTCGCCATGCCTCAACCACTCTGCGCTGATTGTTGCCAAGGCAGCTTGACAGGCTGAGGAAAGGCTGGAGAAGCGGCTCACTGAAACAGAACACTGAAAAGTAACCTGATACACCTTTTCCATTGGTGTTTCTGCCATGTACTGCAGAGCTAGAATAATTGCTCCATGGGTCCTGTCCATTATCTTGTCGGTCCGCATGTGTGTGTGTGTGTTTCTGCAGTAAAAGCAACGGCAACCACTGTGAAAAAGTTCACTCTTTTTGTAAAACCAATGCGAGCTGCAGAACATAGCAATGGTGCATCAAGCCATACGTTTTCCTGCACTTTTTATGATTGCTGCTGAACTGTCTCTGCACTACAAACACAAACTGCAGTCACAATATTTTGTCCGACTTGAAGGTAAAGGAGTAGCCGCAGAAATTAAATTAGTATGAATAGGATAGGGAGCATAAATGAATTAGCTGCCATACAGGACATTCCACGTTTCAGCCGCTATTCTGAAAAATGACTCTACAGTCTCAGAGATGGAGAGACATAAAACTAATTTTCCCCACATTTTCAATCAGCTTCTGCCCTTTGGCTTTATGAGTCAAGGTACACAGTGCCGGGGCTTGATTTCAATGCAAAATTAAAAAATAGCTCAGCAAAGAGGGGCCCATTAAAAAGGAGGCGGAACAGCAGTGATTTCTGTCAGCTAAAGGTGTTTGAAACGCAGTAAATTCATAATAAATTACACCCGTGGGGACAGTTTCACAACATCCCCATTTACAGCTTTTACTAAATTCTTCTTGGAGGATTTCTCTCATGGACAGGAAGAGCATTGTACAAGAATAGTAGTGGTGGCACAAAATGAAATATCATTACATTTAACTGTAATCGTTCAGGG